TTGACTGAAGACAGAGACATTTTAACATGTGTGCATTAGATCTCTATATCTCTGGATGATGATTCAAACTTAAAGGGATAGTTCACCCAAGAATGAAAATTATGTCATCATTTACTCACCCTCAAGTTGTTCCAAACCTGTATGACTTTGTTTTGTTGAACGCAAAAGAAGAAATGTTGAAGAATGTTGGTAACCAAACAGTTGATGGTAGCCACTGACTTTCATAAGGCCCTTTCGCACCGCTTTAGTTCCAGAACTAAAGGTACGGTACTAAAGTACTGGAACGATTTTGCGCAAACTATTTCCCAGTACCATTTAAAGGGTTGCATTCGCACCGACAGTGTGTACTAAGAAGTGACGTAAGCCGGTCGACAGCAACGTCATTTGTGCGCGGCGTTCAACAACAGAAACAAAGAAGAACAACATTAACAACAGGAGGATGGAGGACACTGTGATCGGAGCTGTGTTTTTGTTGTGTCTCGCGGGTTTCACAATAATGGACATGGAAAGTCGACGTATACGTAAAGCGATTGAAAGAACGGAAAGGAGGACTAAGAATCTCCAACGACAACTGGCAGTGCTACATTTGCTACAAGTGCCTGCATTTAAGCGTCCGTCCATCTATCGCTGTTCTCCATACTTGCGAAATGGTTCTCGAAAAAGGCAGTCCGGTACTAAAATCGTTCCCAGTTCCGGCGGTGTGAACACGCCGAAAAGTGGGTAGTTCCACAATTAGTTCTGGTACTATGAAAAGGTTCCTGCGGTGCGAAAGATCCTATAGTATTTCATTCTTTTTTTTTTTTCATACTGTGGATCAACTGTTTGGTTAGTTACACACATTTTTCAAAGTATATTTTATGTTCAACATTAGACAGAAACTCTTACAGTTTTGGACTTGAGGGTGAGTAAATATGACATTTTTGGGTGAACTACCCCTTTAAGAAACAAGATGATGTTGAATTGAAATACAATTCGAAAGTGTTTTTTTTTTTTTGAAAGATGCATTGAATTGACAGTCAACGGCAGTTTGTATTTGTATGTATTTGTAATGACCATAAATCAAAAGTGGATCTGAAGGATCCTGTGACACTGAAGTCTGGAGTAATGATGCTGAAAATTCAGCTTTGATCACAGGAATACATTACATTTTAAAATATTCTCAAAGAGAATACAGATATTTTAAATTGTAATATAATTTTACAAATCACTGTTTTTACTGTATGTTTGATGAAATAAATGCAGCCTTAGTGAGAATAAGAATAAAATCTTATAACTCCAGACTTTTTCTAATGGCAGTGTATATATAATATTGAATGCTTATTAAAAGGTTGATCTATTACAAATAGAAGATAAAAAAACAAAAGATGAAGCATGCTAAGTAAAATAGCCTGAAGGTCTGAGGTTTGTGGATGCACTGTAGCTGATGCTCTAGTTAGCACCAGATATTTTGGTCTATGCATTATGGATTTTTCCTAACAATATGTAGCAAGACGGAACAAATAGGAAGAAAAGGTTTCTTGGCTTCAACAACTATAAATAGGTGAAATTTATTATAATCTTCTATTTTTTTATAATTCATATTCATTACTAAATTAGTGAATGCATTTTTAATTGAATGACTGTATTATATAATCTTATTATAATTATTTACATTTATTATAAACGATTTATTTACAAGCTTGTTAGCAACTGTTAGAACAAAACATGAAAGTCTCTTCTAGTAATGCTACTGTAACCACAGACCTTATTATACTCATAAATCACAAACCATATGAACAAATTCAGTACTGCTTTGACAATGAGATAACACTTTATAAATAACTATCTTTTGTAAACAATATTTAACTACATTATCAATGAACAATAATTCTGCAGCGTTTGTTAATCTTAGTAAATGTTCATTTCAACATTTACTAATACAGTTTTAAGATCATTGTATCTGTTAACATTACTGCACTGTGAACATTTTTATAAATTGGAAACATTAACAGGTTAATAAATGCTGTGAAAATATATTGCTCATTGTTCATGTTAGGTAATGCATAAATGATAACAAATGAGCTCTTATTGTAAAGTGTTACTGCGATATTAATAGTATAATAAAGGAAATCTCAGCTGCTTTTGCATACATTATGGAAATTTGTAACATTATATAAAGCATTACATGCTATTAATGATCTATTTACTGTATATGTGAGAGATATCATAATAATAACAATATGGTCCTCACAAGGTCCTCTTTGGTTCCAAGGCCATCGTAATATATGACAGCCAGCTGATACAGAGCTCGAGGATCTTCATCTTTATCTTCATCTTTGCTTCTGCGTAGCGGTCCTGCAGAACACCAGAGTATTCCTGAGAGGTGTAACTATTATGCATCAATATACTGTTTGTCTGTGACGCTGACAGCAAATTCTCACATGATTCTGTCTTTGCATGTTGAAACAGAATAAATGAGAGAGAGTTTAAGGCATCAGTCACCTCCTCGTAGTGCAACTGTCCCAGAAGGAAGGCGGCTTGTGCATCTACTCTTTCTGCTTTCTCTTTAAGCAGAATCACTGTCCTCTCCACTGAGTCAGAACTAGTCTCTGCTTTGGAATACACACACACACACACACACACACATATATATATATATACACACACACACACACACACACATATATATATATATAGAGAGAGAGAGAGAGAGAGAGAGAGGCTAATATCCAGATTACTTAAATGAAATAAATACATTTTATCTATCTAAATGCAATTAAACAATATAAAATATTTTTCACATATTATATAAAAAGTGAACTGGAATTAAATTAATTGGACCCTCTCTAGCACTCTATTCTAATTCTAAGAGAAAAAAAACCTTTACCCTCTAACACTTGCACTCTATTTTCTATTTCTATTCTTACTACTTGTCTTTTTTTTTTAAACCGCCTCTTAACACTAGCATTCTCCATTCTTTTTCTATTCTTTTTTATTAAAAAAAAGATTCTCTAAAGCCCCGTTCACACCAAGAACCATAACTATAAAGATAACTATAAAGATAAGGATATTAGAGTCCACACCAGCGAAAGATATCGTCTGTTTATTCTAAGCGCACGCGCGTCTGTCGCTTTAAATTCTCCTCACATATTATATAAAAAGTGAACTGGAATTAAATTAATTGGACCCTCTCTAGCACTCTATTCTAATTCTAAGAGAAAAAAAACCTTTACCCTCTAACACTTGCACTCTATTTTCTATTTCTATTCTTACTACTTGTCTTTTTTTTTTAAACCGCCTCTTAACACTAGCATTCTCCATTCTTTTTCTATTCTTTTTTATTAAAAAAAAGATTCTCTAAAGCCCCGTTCACACCAAGAACCATAACTATAAAGATAACTATAAAGATAAGGATATTAGAGTCCACACCAGCGAAAGATATCGTCTGTTTATTCTAAGCGCACGCGCGTCTGTCGCTTTTAATTCTCGAGCGCGTTACAGCAGGATGGATTCTGATTGGCTGTCAGTGTTTTATCGTTCATCAACTGGAAAAAAAATCGTCTTGAAAGTGATTCCAACGATATCGTTCCTCTGTATCGTTATCGTTATCGTTATAGTTATAGTTGTGGTGTGAACTATGCTATTCTTTCATATTGAGAATGATTTTTAGAACTATATCTTTATCGTTATCGTTATAGTTATCGTGTTTGGTGTGAACGGGCCTTTACACTAGCGTTTCCTATTCTTTTTCTATTATATACTTGTTTTTCTTTTTATTTATAAAAAAAAAACTCTTGCTAGGTGTACCTCGTTAGGCTACCAGAGACTTGTTCTAAAGCCCCGTTCACACCAAGAACCATAACTATAAAGATAACTATAAAGATAAGGATATTAGAGTCCACACCAGCGAAAGATATCGTCTGTTTATTCTAAGCGCACGCGCGTCTGTCGCTTTAAATTCTCCAGCGCGTTACAGCAGGATGGATTCTGATTGGCTGTCAGTGTTTTATCGTTCATCAACTGGAAAAAAAATCGTCTTGAAAGTGATTCCAACCATATCGTTCCTCTGTATCGTTATCGTTATCGTTATAGTTATAGTTGTGGTGTGAACTATGCTATTCTTTCATATTGAGAATGATTTTTAGAACTATATCTTTATCGTTATCGTTATAGTTATCGTGCTTGGTGTGAACGGGCCTTTACACTAGCGTTTCCTATTCTTTTTCTATTATATACTTGTTTTTCTTTTTATTTATAAAAAAAAAAACTCTTGCTAGGTGTACCTGGTTAGGCTACCAGAGACTTGTCACAGCACTTCCATATTGTTGCTCTTTTGTTGGTTTTGATTGCTTCTGTTGTCTTCATTTGAAAGTCACTTTGGATAAAAGCGTCTGCTAAATGTCTAAATGTAAATGAAATGTTTCTGTAAAGCGTTAAGGCGAGATGTTACAGAATGTAGCGTTACATCTCTGTTCACCTGAGTGCAACGCCTCTTCTCTGATGTCTTGCTATCTTTGAGGTTCTGGTTTTCAGTGCACTGCAGTCCATTTCCCTCGACAAACACAACCACTAAATCACTGCTTACAAACACACATTACTTTCCAGTCAGCAGCACTTTAATAATGCATGACACACTGCGCAGCTCATTTTCATTTCACTTACTCTAATGCAGTTATTTAAATGGCATAATAATAAAATAATAAATTTTGCAATTATGACATAATATAAGTTTCGAGAATGAAACCTAATTTTTCTCCCCGTCGCCTAATTTGTTAAAAAAAAAAGAACAGTCTCATGTAATAAGAGACATTTCATTTTATATAGTTATTTATTATATCAATTATAATACAATGTTAGATATCAGAACTGTACACAGTACGTTTAAATGTATTCTAAACGTAAATGAAATCATTTAAATAAGAGTTCTGGCTCTGATTACAAAATAAGAGTCAAGAGAACCGTTGAAAACGTTTTGAGGAACGATCCTTCTGAGTTGCCGTAGTGACCCCGGAAATGTGAATTTCAAAACACTAAACCGGCAGAATCTTCATTAATCGTGTGGATTTGGTGTCGTTTCTGTTCAAAATGACGGCTGAATGCGGCCAGTGAGAAATCAGACAGCAGGCTGGACGCATGCCAGTGTCTGTGTTGTCTTATCAGTGCTATTGATGACAGTTATTGATCTTCATCATGAAGCTGAGCTCATCACTATTTGCTTTATTGTGTCTCATATGTGAGATTGTGTCCATCGCTCTTTTCCTGCGAGGATTCTTCCCTGTTCCTGTCAAATCGTCCTTTTCAGCCAAGAGCAAAGTGCCTCATTTCCCTGCAGAGCCACAGACAGGTAAACACACACTCAGAAGCATTAACTATGACCCTCTACGGACACCTTGGCAGTCGAATCGCCACAGGCTAGTCTTTCTTTTAGAAAATGTAAAGAAAAAAAAATGGTTTTGTTGTTTGAAAACCACCTTTCGTCTTTGACCCGTATAAATATGTATGTTTAATTGTATACTTTTATTACTTAAATAAAACGGCTAAATATAACCTATGTCTCAGTCTGTTTTATTCTGTATGTCCAAATCTGAATAAATCGCCCCTTGGGGATTAAGATTGAGGATTTCATTCCAATGTTTAAGGTGTTTTAATTTCAGCCTCACAACTAAATCCCCTTTTTCCAAAATCTCTAATTATAATTCTGAAATCAGAATTCATAAGATGCATGGTGATCACGCATGCAGCAGAGATTCTTGAGTTGTTATGTGTTCTGCAGGAAGTGGGCCGAACTCCAGAAAAGCTCCTGAGCCTTTGTTCAAGCGGGTGGTGATCGTCCTGATCGATGCTCTCAGAGAGGACTTTGTGTTCGGCTCTGATGGCCGGAGCTTCATGCCCTACACTAGTCATGTGGTGGAGAGAGGCTCTTCTCACAGCTTCATAGCCAAAGCCAGACCGCCCACCGTCACCATGCCCAGAATTAAGGTGAATTACACACAAAATCAAATCCTTTCTTAACCTAGTTTAGTTTTTTGCCTGTGGTTCCTCCTTTAGTATAAATCTATGGGATGTTTTTGCCTATTTTGTCAAAATATGCTATTATATTACTAATTCTAATTAATTTAAATATTTAATCTTATTTATAATTATTATTATAATACTATATTATAATGTTTGTTTTTTATATATTATTATTATTATTTTCTATATTAAAAACTGTTGCACACAAAATTTGTTCATATTAATGTAATTAAATATTTAAAATTATTTATTATTATTATTATTAATGAATATGGAATAAATAGTTTCTAATTTTTTATTTGATATTTATTTTTATGTTGCAAAATAATTAAATGTATATTATTCTACAATTTATGTCAAAATAATGGCGTTATTTTAAATAGTGTAAACCAACAGTGTTGCATGGAAAATGTGGGACACTACTAAATATATAAATATATTTAATAAATATACATTTAAATAACTAATTCTAATTCATTCTAATAAATATTTAATAATAATAATACACATTTAATAGTCATAATAATAATAATAATTGTTAAAAATGATCTAATTAAATATTTAATTTGATATAGTTTTTTTTGTGCTACAAATTAACTGAATGAATATTCAACAAATTATTTTAAACTTTAATTTTAATAATATAATTTTAAGTAGGGTGAAAACAAAATGTGAGAGTCGGGACACTGCTAAATGTGATGAATTCTAATTAATCTAATTCAGTATTTAATCATATTTATATGTTTTATTATTAACAACCCACAACAGCTTTGAGACTTGAAATTTAACCCCCCCCCAGAAATGACTGTATGTTGGTGGCTTCTATTCTGTTTATTAACTCATGATGTAGGTCCATTCATATGCTGATCATTGATTCATGTGTGAGATGTTAGAGGTTATCAGTGATATTTGTACAGGCATATCAGCAGTTTGCACTCATGACAAAAAAAAAAAAGAATCTCTAATTCTGCATCTGCTAGGAGCAATTAAATAAGGCCTATAAATCAGTTGCGGGTCTTCCTGGAGCTGATCTGCCCAAGTTTTCCAGCATGCATCTCATATGGCCTGCATTTATATGAGTTGTGTCCCAACTCAAGTGTCCAGCAGATGGCAGTCCTGATCTATCGGTCCCATAAGACCAGGGCTGCCCAAACTCGGTCCTGGAGGGCCGGTGTCCTGCAGAGTTTAGCTCCAACTTGCCTCAACACACCTGCCTTTAAGTTTCTAGTATGCCTAGTAAGAGCTTGATTAGCTGGTTCAGGTGTGTTTAATTGGGGTTGGAGCTAAACTCTTCAGGACACCGGCCCTCCAGGACCGAGTTTGGACACCCATGCATAAGACCTTCTGTCATATCACTGCAGTGCTCTCAGCTGTAAACCGGTGTGACATGGCCAACTAACCCAAATTACTAGGGCTGGGGTTCATTAATTTTAACCTTCAATATTACAGTAATGTTGTACCAACTGACTCATGTATATTTTACAGCATTAGTTGAGATTTTTTTTCCTTGAGAAAATTTGGCATGTACTGTACCTGATATATATCCAAAATAATCTATACTGAATCGAATCGAATCGAATCGGTAATCGAATCGAAAGCTTGTGAACGAGAATCGAATCGAATCGTGAAATTTGTGTCAAACCCCAGCCCTAGTAATTTGGGTTAGTTGGCCATGTCACACCGGTTTACAGCTGAGAGCACTGCAGTGATATGACAGAAGGTCTTATGCATGGGTGCCCAAACTCGGTCCTGGAGGGCCGGTGTCCTGCAGAGTTTAGCTCCAACTTGCCTCAACACACCTGCCTTTAAGTTTCTAGTATGCCTAGTAAGAGCTTGATTAGCTGGTTCAGGTGTGTTTAATTGGGGTTGGAGCTAAACTCTTCAGGACACCGGCCCTCCAGGACCGAGTTTGGACACCCATGCATAAGACCTTCTGTCATATCACTGCAGTGCTCTCAGCTGTAAACCGGTGTGACATGGCCAACTAACCCAAATTACTAGGGCTGGGGTTTGACACAAATTTCACGATTCGATTCGATTCTCGTTCACAAGCTTTCGATTCGATTACCGATTCGATTCGATTCGATTCAGTATAGATTATTTTGGATATATATCAGGTACAGTACATGCCAAATTTTCTCAAGGAAAAAAAATCTCAACTAATGCTGTAAAATATACATGAGTCAGTTGGTACAACATTACTGTAATATTGAAGGTTAAAATTAATGAAGTTTTTTCAATAGTAAAGTTACAGTTACATATTAATATTTCTAACGTACTTCAATTCGTTTTTTTTTATATAAACATTTAAATGGTGGCTGTCATAACTTGATGGATTTATTCAAACATAAATTAAACATTAAAGAACAGTAATTGATTATAATGAATATGTTATATGCTGCATATACTAAGGAAAATGTCCCTCTCTACAGTTTATTTTTCTATCTGACTAATAAGTTTATGGTCACCAAATATTTTTCTGAGGTAAATGTGACGTTACGTGACATATTGTTTACAAGATGTTATATTGACGTCTTTGCGCGGCTGAAACACTGATTGAGCGATTACACGAGACAGGATATGGATTGTAAAGTTGTACTCTTTCTTTTAACTTACCTTCGGATGTTTAGTCATGTTTATTTTGTGCTGAAACTGGTATTAATGTGGAGGAGATGATCAGTTCACGTGCGCCTCGCGCTGCTGTGTCTGTTGATCTGAGGCGCTACAGCGATCTGTCACTTCACATTAAACAGCGCCAAAACGGCATTTATTGTTTGAATACTGCAATACAATGGACATAATTTGAAATCTGAGACTTTGTTTCATATTAAAAGTACCAAAGCACAATGCTAATTGCGATTTATTGGATGGGAAGTATCCTTCAATATTCCGTCCATTAACTGAAAACAGGCTAGAATAATCGATTCTTGGGATTTAGGAATCGATATCGTTCCGTAAAAATGAGAATCGATTCATATCGAGATATCGATATTTTTTACCCAGCCCTACAAATGACAGTCTTCCAGAGATCAATCAGTCATTTATCACTGCTGGTCAGCAGGTTGGAATATAAAAAATATTGTCATTACTTGAAATAAAATACATTTGAACTGAAATAAAATTTCATTTTAATAAAAATGTAAAAATAAATATATATCTTTATTTTATTTCAGCTAGCTGCTAAGCCAACATTTGTCCTTATGATTTATTTTAAGTCGATGCACTAAAATAACAAATGAAAACTGAATTTGCAGGTTGAATATGAAAATAATAAAAACTATATTAAAAAGTTATTTTTAATAAAAATAACAAAAACATTTATAAACATAATAAAACCATATTAAATTAAAATGTAAACAGAAAATATAAAAATAAACAAATTCTAATTATTAATAAAACCTGTATAGCATGTCGATGATATTAAAATAACACTGGTTACACTCTCAGAAAAAAAGGTAAAAAAGCTGTCCTTGTGGCAGTACCCTTTCAAAAAGTTCTAATGATGCACTACTCTTTTATTTTTTATTTTTATGAATTTCAACCAGACAGCATGTTTGTTTTCTGTTATCCAAGTCATATTTTCCTGCCCCGAATCAAACAATATGATTGCATTTAAACTCTGTTAAAATGCTCGACACGATGAACACTGCATGCCCTCCAGTGGAGCGTGTGTGTCCCAGCATCATCTCTGCCCCTGTAAGAACATTAACCAGGCCGCTGGTTGTTGTAGAGACGCTCTTGCCACTGATTTTCAGTCATTGTCGCTGCTGCTGATGTCATAATGGAGGGTGTGGCTTCCTGGTGAATGGAGCTCTCAGTCAAACGTCTGGGTCACAGCGAGCAGTTCTGTCATCACTTCTGTGATGAGTTTCAATGATTTTATACTGAAATCAAATGCGACGGAGGGCTGAAATGTACTTATTAAATGTCTTCCGAGTACTTTTAAGACCATAATTTCCCAGAATTCCACAGCGACTTTGAAATATAGATGCTTCATGTTAAAATATTTTGCATTGGCAGTGCTTGGTTCATTTTAAGCATAGGAAGAAAATATAGCTGTGAAAAAGGACGGTGTGTTGCTGCTGTGATCATTTTAGGAAGTTTCATGTAAATACGCAGATTTTTTGCTGAGATATTGCCTCACTTTTTCTTTGATGTCTTCACCAGCTGCTGCATTGAAGTGTTTCTGGAGAGGAGAGAGTAATGCTGAAAACCCAAAAGTTTGAGTAGCATATGAGCCAATTTTCTGAAGACAGACCTCTTTTTTTTTCTTTCTTTTCTATTTTAGTTTTCTCTCTCTCTCTCAGCTCTTATTTTTATTTTTGAATTATTAATGTTTAGTTTTTTTTTGTAATTATTCATAGTTTTAGTAATTTTATTATGTGCTTTTGCCATTTTATTAATTTTAAAAGAAGTATTTGTATTTATTTTTTATTTTTTATTTCAGTTTTAGTAATTTTAGTTCTTAAACTTTAATTCAGTTCAACATTCCTAATTTTCGAGAACTTGCACAATTGGTGGCTGACTAAATACTTTTTTGCCCCACTGTATGTGCAAACATACTTGGCAATAAAGGCTCTTTCTGATTCTGATTCTGATTCTAAATGATACCACGTTTCTGATTTTAGACACAATCTTACCATGTCTCATTAGTTCTCTTTCAATAATATCATCTCTGATAAATGGTGGTACACTTGAAAGCCTAATCCTTTTTGCCAGCTGAACCAAAGGCATTACATGAGTAAACCCATTATTAACGACAATCCCATTCTCTACAATGCCATTAACTTTTTCCACATTATCCAAAAAAATTACTATAGCGCTATTCATTCTAGCTGCAGAAAAAATACTAACATATCTAACTATTTCAGCAACCGCAATCGTGCATTCTTCAACAGAGCAGCGCTCCGCGGGGATGATTTTAATGCCATGCCTCCGCGTTAAGTTATCCAAACTCTGAGACG